AAACTTGCAGCAGTTTTAAAATGCACAATCATGCCCTGAAGGATGAGGTAGTGTCATTGTCAACCTGAATCACTCTATGATATCATCCCTGATCATGTCAAGGGTATTTGAGGGTCTAAGTTTTCAAGACATCCAGGGGTCTGAGTTTTTCAAGGGTCTTTTAAGTTTTCAGGGTGTGAGGTATGAGTTTTTGTGAACCCAAAATGTGTTCTTTTAGGACCGTAAATGCTCTATTAAGACCCAACCTCTCAAATAACCCCCGTCCCTCTAATAAGCCCCCCTTTTCAGGGGAAGAAAGTTATTTTGGAACCTAGATCTTTATAGAGAATTGATACGATTGCCTTTTCTGGCCCCCCTCTCAAATTAACCCCCTGTCTCTTTTAAGTTCCCCCTCAAATGGGCTTGGGGGTTGGGTGATGAGGGTTGGTTGACATTTGGGGGGGGGGGATAGTGCAAGAGGTAGAGGCTAAACATTTTAGATCTTCAGAGGTATAGGACAATAGGGGGTAAGTTGTTTTGGTAACTGTGATAGCCCCAACTATTTTTTTTGGCCAGGCATAAGAAATTAGTGTACAAGCATGAGCTAGCCTGAGATGGGTGCATGAAAAAATTATGGAGACTAGCAGGTAAAAAAGGTATAATGTTGTGAAATGCATGTTCTAATAACTTACTTTAGAAGACATAAAGTCTAGGGACAGAAAAGGCTCGCACAACATTTTCCAACATTGTATTAGAACCAGTTTCAAGTCAAGATTGGCTTGATAAGTATTTTCTTGAAAAAGGTTCCAATGGAAATAAATTATCTTAGCCCTTTGCTGAACTTTGTCATATTTTTGGACACCACTTAGAAATAGCTTGCTGGATGGCAAGCCACCCAAACAAACATCCATTGAGATCACAAATCTTTTGAGTGCAATTGCACAAAGTCTTCCTAGGTTAGTTAACAAGGTCTTTTATGTCTTCTAGCCCAGCCACTTAATTTTTACAGGCCATTTAACAAAATTAAATAAAAAACAATTCTCCACTTTGCACCCTCTAAGAAGTGACATCAAAATTTTCAGAATTCAAGCTAATATTTGTTACCACAGTACACTGCCAACAAAGAAACATTGCCTGCATTTACATAAAAAAATGTATTCTCATTTTATTAAGAATAATTATTATTTTACAGCTGCCTCGGATGTGACATGACCTGTGATGCCAAAAACATCTTCGGTTTTGGGTTTTTCTGCAACATCAATCAAAATCTGAAGAATCAGTACTTTCACCCCTTTACATATCTTACTGGACCCATTAGGAAACAAGAGGTCATAGTTTGTGATTTGCAAATGGTACATTTCGATCCGTTTTGCGTGTTTCTGTGTTTCAAGGTTTGTTGCTTTTGAACTTCAGGGTTAAGTGGCATGTTTTTGAAAAGCGCAGTGAGTTTTATCTAGTTCTAAGTATTTTTTATCTTCTTTATACTAAAACATTGCAATTTTAGATTCCCAAGGTGAAATTGTTCCTAAAGAGTTTCCAAATCCAGAAGAACCACAGATATGGGAGGGTGAAAACAAACCGGCATGTTCCTGCCAACATTTACATTTGCAACTTCTGCTCGATTATAATTATCGCCGCCTTAATTTTACACAGTGGATGCTATAGTAACAGTTTGATTGACAGTGCAGAAAAAACCCAAAATCTTGAAAAACTACTGAGAGTTCTTTAAGCCATCTTCAAAGATTGAGCTTGTAATATATTGTCAGCTTAATAAATCTTAATCAGCATAAATTTTATAGATGATAAAAGAGGATGGGACAAAATTTTCAACACCAAATATTAATTTTTTGCAAAAAATTATGTGATTAAAATTTCAGCCAAAGTAAATGATGCTTGTAGTGAAATGTCCCCCGAAACGGGCTCCAGCTACATGTACAAGTAACATAAGCTTAGGTAAAGATACAAGTGGTGACTGAATTTGTAACTTGTCTCCTTTAATGACTTTTAGTTACCTTGTGTCACTCTGGTCTCATGTAGTTATCATAGTGTTCCAGAAGAAGTTCCTGACTACTTAATTCCTCTTGACATATCCAACAGCTAAATATGCTTAACTGGCTTGTAACTTCTTTAGAAGATTTCCCTTTAATGTGAATTTGTTCATGTCTCACACTAGTTGATGAGTTGTTAAAGCATATGTTACAATACCTGCACTGATAAGGTTTTTCTCCTGAGTGGGAAATTTCATGCCTCTTACAAGATGATGATTTTTTAAAGCATTTTTCACAATACTTGCATTGATAAGGTTTCACTCCTGTGTGTGTCAGTTCATGCTGCTTGCAATTTGATGACTGGGCAAAGCACTTATCACAATACTTGCATTGATAAGTCTTCACTCCTGTGTGTGTACGTTCATGCTGCTTGCAATGTAATGATCAGTTAAAACATTTATCACAATACTTCCACTGATAAGGTTTCACTCCTGTGTGTGAACGTTCATATTGCTTACACATTGATGAACATGTAAACCACTTATCACAGTACTTACACTGATAGGGTTTCTCTCCTGTGTGTGAACATTCATGTTGCTTACAAGTTGATGAATGTGTAAAGCACTTATCACAATACTTGCACTGAAAGGGTTTCATGCCTGTATGTGTACGCTCATGTCGCTTGCAATTTGACAATATGCGCTTACAATTCCCTAGATGTGCAAAGCACTGTTCACAATGCTTGCACTGAGGTTTTAGTCCCGTATGAGTACGTTCAAGTTCCTTGCAAGTTGATCGTTGGGTAAAGCACTTGTCACAATACTCGCACTTATAGGGTTTTACCTGATTGTTGTTAATGCCATGTTTCAATAAATTAACTGCTACTCTTGGATTGTCGATTTTTCGTTTTTCCATTGTACTGTTCCCATACGACTTCTTACAATGAGATTCCTATGTTTCTGGGGGTTACGTTATTGATGCATTGTGGTTGCTGTTTTCCTTGTCTCAAATTCTAGGAAAAAGAAAGTTGGAAATGGACTTAGCAAAATCAATAGATCAAAAGTTAAGAAAACGAAAGCTACAGACATGGTGTACAAATAAAGCATTTTGCTGTATATTAGATGGAGTTCGCACAATTCACACTTTGTCCTTTCCCAGTAATTACTACATTAAAATTAACTTCAAATCAAATTGAATTAACTTTCCCCACTAAAGCTAATGCATTAAAATTTACATTATATCACAAAAAAAATTAATTACTTTAGAAAATAAAACAATAATCCATAATTAACAAGAGGTCACTTAAACTATTTTAGGCATTGTGATTGTTGACAAGTCTTTTTCATAAAAACAAGATTTTCCATAATTTGTCTCTAGAAGGTTTTCCTAAAGATAAGGTACACTATACAGTTAATACAATCTCCCTCTTCAAAAATTCAAAAATTGTCACTCTTTCATCTCATATGCAGTAATCTCTTGGAGCAGTACTTATGCATCACATTAAATAAAGTTGACTTCAACAAAAATAATGAAGCCTGTACTTAATGTTTTTTTACTACATGACTATATATGGCAAGGGCAAACACATTGCTTTCCCAAAACTTGATTTCTTGAAGGTAGGAAATATCTTTACAATTTATAACTCCTCATGAAGGTTTCTCATCAGTGGAAAATTAACCAGCTTTCAAGTATTTTCACTCATTATTTGAAATAAAAATTATGTTGAGCAATGTTCATCAGCTCAACACATGGTATGCAACAAATCAATTATAAGTGGCTACTTAATGTAGAACCAGTGTTGGTAAATAAACCAAACCGTCATCTTTCAGCTGTCAGGCAATACTTTAAATAAGCAAACAATATTCAGCAAAAATGGACAAGCTTGATACAACAAAAGATGTACAATGAAAAGAAATTTTCATCAGCCACTAAAATTAAAAAGTCCTTAGGTGGCCACTGTTGAAATTGTTACACTGTAACTTTTTCACTTTGAGTTCTTAGAAGTAAAAGAAAAAGAACTTTAATTGAGTGTCAGTATATTTAGCACAAAATTACTAATTGGGGACACTTTTTATGTGGTCATCTGAGCCACACAATGGTCTAGCTGCTTGCAGTGCAAAGGGAGTACCCTCATTTCGCAGTTATTTTAAGACCCTGAGTATTGGTCCAGCCCCGGAAATAGAACCCTCGACCTCATGTTTTGCAGTCACATGCTGTACCAGCTGAGCTAACACTGCTGCAGTCAAAGCTAACATTGCCAAGGTTGAATGGTGATTAAAACTCAGGTTTTTATTTACAAACTTTCTTCGTACATTTTTGTAGAATGAATAATTTTGGCAGTTGGTATATGCTCTATTTTTGCTGGGAAAATGCTGAGGCTACAAGCATCGCAAGGATTTTTTTCAGAAAACATACTAAGAATGTAAACACATTTGTGATATTATTTAGTTGTGGACACTTACATGTTTGTGGCTTGTGATTCTTTCGACCTTAAGTCTGTCAGCAAGATACGCAAGAATTCCACCGCCTTTCTTCGATCCTTGTCGGTCTTTTTTGAAAAACGTGTAGCCAGGTATTTGAAGAACGCAGCCAGGCTTATTTGGCTTGAGGAAGGTTTTGATTAGAAAAAGCACATCAATTTCATGTTGATACGCGGTTAGTAGTAACCTTATTTGCTCCAGCTTAGAGTCCGTTAAATTATTTACGTTCCACTGTCCTAGTTTAAGACCATTTCCTTGTAAAGATATCCGAGGGCACAGTTCGTGTTCTGTCTAGCACAAGCACGTGTCGCCGACAGAGGCGGGAAAAGTTTCTCACATCTCATGCTTTCACTATTGAAAACATCTTTAAAATATTGTTGAATTGAAGTTAAAGAGTATTGAGAATTATTTTATTTTCACTCTTTGCTATGTTTGGTATTTAAGGTATTAGAACTGCTATAAAGTCCCAATATGATCATGCTTATAAAATAACTCATTTGAAATGTACTCCTAGCCAGAACTCAAATTCCAAAAATGAAGCATTTTCGTTAAATAGAAGCCGAGAAAATGAAGGCCAAAGTTGGTATCTAAGAGCGCTGTTTTGGAAATATTAATGATCACAGGGCTGAAATCCGACGCGATACTCTCCGTTGTTGATAGAAATGTTGCAATTTTCACAACCCGGCATGTGATAACGCGTTATGAGTTTTAAATAAGCTAGGGCAAATTATGGCAAAATTCTCTTACATTCTGCTTCCCAAAACAAAGTACAATTAATTTGATATTTCTAAATCATTTCTATGGCTGTAAAAAGCCTTCTATAGACAGATTAGATATATGATCCTTGCAAGGTCAATGACAGATAAAGCCATAGTTAAATGACCTATTATGCAAATAAGCATGCTGCTAAGGCTAAAACATTGTTTACGGCACCATAATATTATTGAGAACACGTCATGTAAGATTTTTGCATTTTCTCACCACTTTCCGTGCTACAATCAGGTCAGTGTCACAACAAACATTAAGGACAGCAGTTTGCTTGTAAGAATTCAAGATAGTGAAAAAGAAAACAGTGCAGCGTGACGAAAATTAATGGTCAATTAAGGGCAATTTTGCGGCTGTGTTGGACCGCACTGAAAACAAATTGATGGAAAAATATGAGGATTTATAACACCGCAGTGAAACTTTGCAGGTTTATTCACATAATGTTATGGAAAAAAGTATTAAATTTCCAGCAATTGCGGGAATATTTGGAATTTTAGCGGTGGCCTGAAGTTATAGGGCATTACAAAAAAATTCCACCTCTATCTCTCAGGAAAAATTTACTGGCTACTGCTGGGAATTTAAAGGTAAATGAACAATCTAATTATAAGTCAGTTCGATTTTTTTTTTAATCCTAGATATCGAGAGAAAACCAGAAATATGGAATTATTGAATTTATGAGCCTGGGATATAAATCAGAAGATACATGTACACCTTAGGTGTGAAAACTGACACCTCGGATATCAGTTTTTCTGAAAGCTCAGTCCTCGCATGATAGGTCTCAATAATTTTTATGTTACAAAATTCTTTATTTTTTTAAGTAAAATTTTTTCAAATGAAATAGTTTGTAGGAGATCTTATACCTTAATAAGAAAGAGCCACATGTCACAAATCTAGGAGTGTGTAATAAGGTTAGAAGTCAATCATAATTTAACAATGTGCTTGCTAATAAAAAATGTTTTGAAACCATGTAGAGGTATGAAGTGTTTTTTTGTTCTCTGAACCAGCTATGAAAAATACAATTTGCTATCAGACAGTAGAAAAAGCCATCTCGGCAGGGTTTAAAACGCAAACTTTGCAGGCTCATTTTCAAGCACTTTCTGGGAAAGGGCTTCGCTCTTTCAAAATATTCTCCTGTTACTGGACACTATCCTCCTGCTACTGCAATTCTTAATGAAACCCCTGCAATCTTGCCTCACTGAAATTTTGTTTTCCTCTTAATAGGACGATACATGTCAATCAGTCCGTGATGGTCTATATATATTTTGCTGATAACTGTCAATTGATTAATTATATTTGTTGATACATGCTGTAACTGTTTATTGATTAGTTATTATTGTTTGTCAATAAAAGTCAATAATCACAATGATCTTAGGACAGGTAATCACAATTTCGATAAACTTCTGAGACTTTGCTGAAAATACCTGTTGAGGATTTACATGAACTTTGTACAAATGCCACATAAAGAGAAGGATTTGAACATCATAATTCTTCAAACACATATAAATGCTACTCAGGTACAAATATTGAAAAAGCTCAAGTAGACTTTCAAAAAAGTCCTTCGTCTGATTTAATAGCATTAGAAAAACCTTTCAAAGCATTAGACAAAGTCATTTGAATTTTGCATCTGAGGGGAAAGGGAGCTTAAAAGACACAGGGGGCTTATTGACTTTCTTCCCAGCAAAAGGTGGAGGGGCTTATTAGAGAGAGGGGGACTTAAAAGAGGATTTATGGTAATACCATATGAATAGAAAATACAATTCAGTATATATACAGATCCCCAATACAAATTTCCAGTACCTAAAATCATGGAAGAAAGTTGAAAATTTTTTTTGGAGTTAATCCCAATTTTTTTGCTCACTGAAAACTCGACAAGTTAATTGAAGTTTAACTCATTAATCAATTTCCCTGTCTCAAATTCTCCCAGCACCGTCTCGTATTTATTTTAGGCTAGGAAAACACAGGAAGAGTTTTCACTTGTAACCAGACGAGTTCTGAACTGCACAGGAAAAGGCATAGTCAAATAAACAATTGTAATTTCAGCGGAATGCTGGAGGAATCATAACCTTGGTTTGCCCAGGCTTCACCAAGTCATCATATCATTTTGTCAGGTACAGGAATCATAACCCTGGTTTTTAAAGGCTTTATGAAATCAATTGGTTCTGCTACTTAGATTTCACGATAATTTCATTGCATCTTACTTCCGCGGTCTGCAGTTCCGCAGATCAACCCTTGAAAGTTTCTGGTAGGATATATCGTGATTCAACATGTTTTTTTTAACCAATGTGCATTGAAAGTATAAAGTATGGCAGTTTATAAATAACGTCTCTGCAATATGTGCTTACCTCTTCTGTATTGTGATGAAACTCATCTGTACGCTTTTCATCCAAGAACAATTTGAGTTTTTCTCAAATCCACATTATTTATTTTCTATTTTCCGCCATTTTGAGCCTAGTTGGTGCCCAGCTTCCGAACGTAAAACGTTGAATGTTTACCAAACTTTTGGAAAAGTGATCCCAGAATTCACCTCGTGTTTGTTGGAGAAAGACTGAGGACCGGTAATCAAAATGGCGGCGGCTAAATGCCACTGAAGGTGTGTTTGTGTGACTTTTCTCTTTGGCTGCTCCTGGTTGTAGTCGCTTCAGCAGGTTTTTTTGAACTCTCTGAAAAGGTAGGAACCTCTCCACTAAATAATCTAAGTAAGTGCAATGAAATTATCTTGAAATGCAAGTAGCAGAACCAGTTTGATTCAGAACCCAACTAGTTACAAGTGAAAAAGTTTCCTGTTTTGCTCAGGCTATAATAAGCACAAAAGGGTGCTGGGAGAGTTTGAGACGGTTATGTAAACCCTTGAGACAAAGAAATTGCTTAATGAGTTAAACTTCAATTCACTTGTCGAGTATTCAGTGAGCGAAAAAATTGGGATTAACTCCCAAAAACATTTTCAACTTTCTTCTGTGGTTTTAGGTACTGGCAATAGGCCGTTATACAGTTACGGGTGGAAGCGCGGCTGGAGTTGACCTTGTTTTTATAAACATTTTCCTGCTTTATAATGTAAATCAAGTTATTCTTATGCCTTCTTATGCTAGCTAGTTTTTTTTAAGGACAATTTCCATAACAAAGCATAGGAGGTTTGTATCAAAACAAGGTCACCGTCAGCCTCAAGTTCACTTGTAGGCTGGGGTACTAAGTCCACAACTGTAAAATTGTCTGTATGTACTGGGGATCTGTACACTGAATTGTATTTTCTATTCATACGGTGTTACCGAAAATCCTTTTTTAAGCCCCCCCCGCCAAATAAGCCCCCTCTCTCAAATAAGCCAACTCCCTTTTCAGGGAAAGGAAGTCAATAAGCCCCCTGTCTTTCATTATTATTCTTCACTGGTAAATGAGAGACTGTATTAATCAGTCACTGATCCTGGACATTTTTTTCACCAACTGGAAGTTTGGATTTGTTTTTGATTCTTGGCTGCCCTACAACTTCTTGAACTCGAGCTTTTGTACTTTGTGTTATAATTCCTTATGACACTGGACGAAAAAACGGATTTACCTCTATAGCAAATTTGGAGCAAATCATCTGCAAATGCCACATTTGCTTAATTTTGCTCAATTTTGCCACATGACATAGGACCAACTTTGTCATAATTTTGCATCAGTGGCAAAGGTGGTAAATGCCGAATTTGCCTCAAATTTGCGCCGTGTGTAAAAACAAGGATAACCTTTACTTTATCAAGGCATTTACAGGGGTGTCAAACTTGATAGCAAAACTGACATTTGTCAGGTTTTTGCCCAAATGGGCAAAAGCGATCGAAGATGAATTTTTGAATGCTTTTGCTCTCTATAGCAAATTCGGTCAAAGTAGTAATTTACCACATTTTTGCTCAATGTAGCAAAAGTGACCAAAACTCATTTTTCAACAGTTTTGCCCAGGATAGTAAATCTGAGTAAAAATTCACTTTGTTTGTGTATCGCCCAGTGTAGTAAATGAGGTGAAATTATCACTTCTTCCGTATCTTTGCTCAGTGTGGCAAATATGATCAAAATAAGCGTTTGCCACTCTTTTGCTCAGGGTAGCAAATTTGGCCAAATACCACTTTATTCTCAATTTTGCTCAGGATGGCAGATATGATCAAAACAGTAGTTTCCCATACTTTTCCCCACTGTAGCAAAGTTGATCAAATATCAGTTCTCCTGTATCTTTCCTCAGGATGGCAAATATTGCCATGATAGCAGTTTTCCATACTTTAAGTAAGGTAAACAAAGTTGATTAAAATATCACTTTTTACACTTTCGCTCAAAATAGCAAATTTGATCAAAACATCATTATCCACATGTTTCTTATTTTTACTTGGTACCATAAATGACTGACAAACAATTTAGACACCAAACAAGATTTCAAGAATAAAATGACTTTATTATCTTTAATATACACCGTACAATAAAAAGCAAGATAAATTAAAAGAAAGTTCCATTGGCCTCTGCAGGGCACTGCATGTACCACAAAATATGTGCCTTTAAATAAAAAGCACATACAATGTGAAACTATCTAAATTCATAAGTGTATAAGAATGTACATTGGGTTTGAAAGTGCAAGTCAACACTAGCTGGTTCATAATTATCTAAGGTTGGCACAGGTAAAAAGTTACTCCATTTGAGTGGTATACTTCAAATATACTCTTTCTAGATTCAATTGATACTTTTGGAAAATGGTTGTACGATGACAACACGTACACATTACTCCCAATGTAGATGTAACATCCTTACTAATGGACAGAACATCAACCACAGGAAATAAATCAATTCCCCTGTCATTCAAGAGCAGAACTGATAGTGTCCCACAGGTCACCAGGCTCTAACAGAGCACAGCCATGACTCAACTGTACACATAAACCGTAAAACCGGTCAGAACCTGACAAACG